ATAGCAAATACACGTTCATATAATAACTAATATAATAATTACTTACACGACCTTAACTCCAACTTCTTTAACCAAACCACGGATGAAAAAGTTGTAGGGATCCATGCTTTTCCAAGCCTTTATTTGTTTAGCAGTGCAAAAGCTTGTTTGTAACACTTGATAGTTTGAGATATCGGGGAACTGAACTGGCGGGTATTTTGCAAACTTGTAAGTCAAATCATTCTTGGACAACAAATAAGGATCTATTGCACCGTACAATTTGACTTTTTGATGTATAGATTCTGAGAATTATAATCTAAAGGGTCAAAGAGTCACATTTTCTTCACACATCAGCAGCCATTTTTAGTTGTCCTGACCACCGCTTCTTTTACTGGAAATGAGTGCGTCAAGTGATAGGAGCTGTAAATACAAAATGTTGAATCAGGATTATTTATAGCACACAGACCAGACCTGACCCTGGCTGCACATTAACTTCTGGCCTCTTTGCCTCCATCCTCACCCATTTCCTCTACTTCTTCCTCATCTAATAATCCCTGTGTCAAAATCAAGACTTCAACTCTGTAAATGGGAAATATGTTTGCTTCCAACCAAAACAATCTGGCTATCAAACTAAATGACTACAATTACTTTACATCTTTACATCACTATGCTAAGCAAATCACTAAAACATGACGACGATTTGAAACAAATAACAAGTATATTCAATACATAATTGTATATAACTGTATCCTACACAGACTAATAAAATTATGAAATTATCTTGGTGAACAAACTTCATTATCACTTGACAAGAAAGGTGATGCAGACGTTGAGAAAACATTTTGTACCATGACAGCCTCCGTATTTTTGGATGGAGATAAGCAGTGGGGCAGTGGTTCATGTTGGTGCGGTCTGACCTTTAGATGTCACTGAAAGTTACACACCGTTGCTTCACACCCCCAAAAATTACATCCTATGGGATCAACCAAGCACTGAAACCTCTCGACATAACCTTAATGAATGATTTAATTATGAAACATACAATGAAGTTTGACATACTGTAGACAATATTTTAATGAGTCATATCTTATTTATTTTTCTGAAAACAATTCTGGTTGAGGTTTGCAATTTATTTTCCCACATATGCAAATTAATTTCAACGTCAGCCTTGTTATGGTAAAAAAACTGGTGGTTAAAAACATGACTGATTCTACGCCATATATTTCACCTACTCGCTGGCAGAGTTTCACTCCAAACCACAGGTCACTGACTGGAAACTTGCTCTGTTCTACATGTAATAAAAACCACAATTGCAAATACTGGTTAAAGCATAAACCAATAAAATAGTCCTTTTTCTTTTTATGCTCCTTTGTTGAAATGCTAAGGATAAAGGTTAATGCAAAGGTGAATTACTCATATCTGTAAATAGAGCGTCAAACATTAGCCCACAGGATATGATAGATAATTTAAGACTATCGCAAAAGGGAATCAAACCAACAAGCAAAAGCACAAGTGAGAACCAAATGTCTCACTGGGAAACAGAGGCATGTAACATTTACCTGAGTAACTTCTGCAGTAAAATTAACTTTTAGGAGTAGTGGTACTTTGCTATACTTTTTTATCTTAACTTAAACAATCTTGTGAGAGTATCACTACTTTTGCTTGAATAAAATATCTGCTTACTCAACCTACCATTCAGAGCTCAGAAGTATTCAAATACATTTATGTTGGAAGTTCTTTCTTCTTTCCAGACTTATATGCATTACTTAGAGTAAAGAATGGGTCCTTAAATTTCATCTGCTTTGGAAAAGTGTTCTTCCCGAATTTGTTATTTTGTAATTGCGTTCATTAGTTAGTTTGTTTTTTTCAATTTCTACTTTGAAATACCAGCACTTTTCTAAACATATCTGCTCATATGTAAGAGAGGTTGACTTCACAACAGAAACATACATCTGTACTGATTCTAATTCTAACAAGAGAGAATTAAGAAAGTTGGTGGTAAACAGCTTCAGCAGCCTCTGCCCAACAGTAACAGAAAGCAACAGAAAAAGAGGAACATCCGGATTTTACTGCTCACTTTGGTAACCACCAACCGACAAGAGCAACATAAAAAAACCTAAGATAGCAATAAAAGTCAGAAATATTTTTGAAAGAAAATCAAGTCTATAATAATGTTAAAATAAACCCTGCAACATTTGCACATAACTCTCTCTGATGGTGTTATTTTAAGTATTAAGTCAGATGTTATAAGCCAACAATTATTCATTATTTAAGTTACAAGTTTCTCAAAGACTTTGCTCATTTATTTAGCTCTTGAGTGGCTAATTTCTACTTTTACTTGAGTAGAAAAATGTTAAAGCTGTGCTACCCTTATTTGAGTAAAATTTTTGGGTAAGGCTACTCTACCCACCTCTGCAGTAATGTAAGAAAATCAAACAATAATTAGAGATGTACAATCCGAATAACCTGAATCGGATATCTGCTCAGATATAGAAGGATATCGGTGATTTGATATCGGAAATCAGAGATCCAATCCAGTGCACTTTATATAGAACTGTTATTTCTTTCTTTTTGGTGGTTATTTGTTACTAAATTATATAAAGTATATTAAGTATGCAGTTAATTTTTAACCCTTTAACAATGTTTATGTCAAGGTTAAAGCCTTTACTCACATGGCTAGATATATGGTTCATTCATTCAACAGTTGAATCGGATCGGTATTGGACATCGTCCGATATGCTCAGCGCAGGTATCAGTATCGGACTGGATCTGAAAAAAACTGGATTGGTGCATCTCTAACAATAATCAAAACTTACAAATGTTTACATAAAAATACAAAACATAAAAACACAGAGGCCCACTGTTTTACACAAGATCTACACGTTTTTGACCCAAAAGTCTTTTATAGTGTCAATTTTCTAAATGTTTTGAGATCTTCACAAGGATTTATGGCAAACATGTTTTTCCTCAGTCATGTTTATGGCATTCAAGCTATCCGTTTGGTTTCATTTGTTTTCATGCTTTCTTATGCTCAAATTATAAACTAAAGCAAAAACTGAGGCCTCAGTGACTGTATTTTCTTTAAGGACCACTTGGATGATCTCTTGATGTGCTCTGTTGATGAGGTGATAAGGTCCTGTGGACTTAAACTATTCCTCCGTCTTTTCTCTACATGTGGTTCTAGAATCTCAATGTTGTGTTAATTTTCATCATTGATGGACAGGTGTTGTGCTTCGTAACCTCTCTTAACTAGGTGTAGCAAGTGAATCTTAACTTAGCTTTTCAGAAATTCTGCTCAATTACAGGACATTTATTTTATGAATAGGAAGGCAATGAGCTTTTCACATATGTTTCCATATTTTGGAGACTGTTGTTTGTATTTACTATAGTTAATCTAATATTGAAATTTGTTTGATATTATTGTATTTATTAGAGTTAGGCTGTGTCCAAATGTCTGCCCTAAACATTATATAGGGCACTATATAGTAGTTACGCCATTTTAGATGAGTGCCCGAATGTTCAGTGGTTGAAAAAGCAGTGGACTCGAAATTTCGGTATCCTGTCAAGGATAAAGTGTAAAATATGTTTTGTTTTTTTTTCCCTCTCTTCCCCAATGTGGCTCCTATTCCCCCATGATGAATGGTTGGTACTGAAACTGAAATTTCGATTGCAATGTAAATTGTAGTTGACGGTAAAGATTGATTGATTATTTTGTATGTACAGTGTGTACAAAACAAAACTTTGTTGCATACAGCTTACAACAGTGTAATGGTTTTGCAATTATTAACAGCATAAAGTGAAGTAGTGATCAGATGCAACAATGAAGGAGAAAAAGAAACCAGTTTAAATAATGGTGCAAAAAAGCATTAATATGAAAACTTTCAGTACAGTGCAAAAATAAATATAGTGCAAAATGCTGTATAACATTGAATTGTGTCCTATTTAAAAGGATTGTAAAAGTTCAGCAACATTAGTAGTGCAAAAAAATGTGATGCAGAGTTGATCGCAAGAGTGCCCAAACCTAAAAACAATCTGCATTGATTCCAATGCAGTTTCACAGCCCTAGTTTAGGTTTAGAAATGCTTAACATACCAAAGTCAAACCTTCCCAGAGGAATGGTATCAGTTCATGCTTATGCACATCATCAATGAATCATGCACATTTTTTCATTCCACATCCCACAGTTTGGTTTATATCCCTGTTCTGCAAGTTTCAACTTGGTATTCACTACTGTCACTACTTTTGATTGTGCTAGAATCACTAAAGGAAAATGAAAAGCGATTTATTCATCTTGGCATTCAAAAAGTCCACATACAGAATCCAAGCACAGTTTGAAATAAGAAAAAAAATAAACACTGTAATAATCTGCTGTTGTGCACAATAAAACTGTAAATACTTTGCAGTCTGCCAACTGCCATTGGTTTAAGCATTTTTGCAGATATGGTAATGCAAGTTTTATATCTGCATCTATATGTGTATATTGTGTCTGCCCCGTAATCCACAGCTACTAAGAATAGTAAAGCACAGATTAACTCGTCGCTGAGGGGCTGCAGCAGTCTCAGGTAGCCATAGACGCACGTTTTGAGTGTCACTTATATGCTATTCAGCAAACTCAAAATCTGCAGTTTTGTTTTCTTTTAAATATTAAGTACTGCCTTCTTTTGGCAAGACTTCAATAAATCCTCTGATTAATGCCTCATTGCCCAATCTAGGAGATTTTATACACTTCCCTCTCATGGGGGCTTTTCTTGTAAAAGTAATACTTTGGGATTCGAATTCAGATTCTTGAGCATGATTGTCATCATTTTCTGTAGCCTCTCAGACCGCAAGTTTTTTCTTGCAGTCACACAAATCTTTTCGTTCATCATTTAAAATAAATTTCAAATATGAACATTTAACTATATTTTTGTTTGCTTCGGTGAAACCAGTTTGAACTTTTCAATTGAATACACCACAATACATTTGTATATGAAAACTTCTTTATTAGGACATTGAGCTTTCTCAGTTCTGAAAAAGCTTAAATTTGTTTCTCTTAAAGGAACTATGGCAGCGCCAGCACTGCCTGACACAATCTGATTTTTTCACAAAAAACAAACAAACAAACCCACATACATCAAAATGTGCTTTACTTTCTTGTTTCAATTTTTTTTTTTTGGTATAAAACGGATTCATATTTAAATAATTACTTACAAAAATAAGTAAAAGGTTTCAAATATTAGTTCATTCTCACGTTTTCTAAAGAGGAACATAGTATTTTATGAGAAGGATTGGTGGTTAACGGTTGGAGTTCTCTTCTTCCTCCCATACATGTCACTCACAGTACAGTTAGGTGTTTGTAGTGCAAAGCTGTGCTTTATCTCACCCCATAGGTTCGGTCATTTCAAATGGAGTTACATTAAAAACAAACCTACTGAAGGAGCTCAGATAGGCAGCTCTCGCTCCTATCCTGTTACAGTGTCTTTAGCCTCAAAGAAATAATGCCACTTGAGAACATAAGCAGGTGTAAACACAGATATAACAACACATGCATACAACTTTCTCATTGTAAAAAAAACATGTCTTGAACCTTGTGTCAAAATGCTCTTCTGAATCACAGAAGGGCATGGTCAGAGTAAATACGGTGAACACCCAGAAGCTTACAGCAAAAGCAGCCCAAATTGCCTGATTTCAAGTTGCTGCTTGCTTCTAACAGTTCAAATTCACCGAGCAGGAAACCTACTGGGAAAACCTGCCCTGCAGGCTTTAAACTACCCAGCTACTCTGGCCCAGATGCAGTTCTGACGGCGGCGGATGCTCTATCAGGATACAGCAGAACCAATGGCTGTTGAAGTTTCGGAACCATAGCTAGAAAATCTTGTTTTTCTATTGTTCTAGTTCAGTTCTGCACAGTCCAGACTTCAACATCTTGTACGATAAAGTCCTCATGTGTGGAAAGAGGAGCGTTGTGGAAGGTAGGGCAGGAGAAGCTGGCACCGTGGTACAAATCTGCGTCCAGCCACAGAGCAAAGCCACCTCTAAGGAAGAGAAAACATACAGAAAAATCAGAAAAGGACAACTTCAACCTGTTCTTGCTACTGTATATTCGATCACAGATTCCCTCCTCTCCATTAAGGTTAATTGAGGCAAAATAACTTACCCTCCTCCTCCAATCTGCAGAGATTCCCAGTTGCCGCTCACAAAGTAAGAGTTCTCCCCGCTCCACCTGTATTGCTGAAGGAAAGGAAAAATGATCAAAAACAAGATATTAGTGATCTGTCCTGAAACAGAGCAAAACCAAAAAAAAAGCAGAAATCTTATATTTGTTGTTGATAGTTTTTATGCAGCAGATCATATAAGCATTATCTTTTCTTTCTAATACTTAATTTATAACAACTAATAATTAAAATACAATATATCCTTACCTGGAAATCAGGGTTAAAGCTGAACAAGAATGTCTCTCCGGTGCCATAGCAGTATTTACTGACTCTGAAGGGATCTGAACAAAAAGCCCCAAACACCTGGAAAAAAAAAAGTTTGTTAGTTGATGCAATTCTGCAAGTCTTTTTTTTGTGATTGCTTTTTTTAGTGTGAAAAAAAGTTTTTAAATCAAAGCTCCAGATGCCAACCTTTTTATGAATGTCTTTGATGACCAGCAGCACAGGACTGTCCAGATCAGCCATGTTCCTGTACAGCGTCTTTAGGCTGCTCCCATGGTTGTTGGTGCTGTACACCAGGTGCCATGGATACCCCTGGGTCCTTGGAGGCAAGTGAGCAGCAAGCTGGAAAATGAAAACACAAACCTGGGTTAAATGATGCTCGTATAGATCCAACAGTAATTCTTTAAGGTAAAACTTGAAATAAAATGAAATTTTTCAGTAAAGTTTGACACTTTGGTGGAGTCCAACTGACCTTCTGTAGGTGATATTCATCCAGCAGCTGGCTTTCATGGCTCAGGACTGGGAAATCATCCACAACATCCAGGTACTCATTCTCCTCAACCTCCGACTCTACTGAATTGCTGAGGCTCAGGCGGCGCTTTGAGTCCTTCACTGTTATGATCTGCAGAAGATGTGACAGAATGATGAGAAACTTGTTTTAAGACATTTTTCACCTTGTGAATAGAAAGGCACATGCAACTGAATCTTGATTTTCTCACTGACATGTAATGTCAGAGATATGCTGCTGTAGTAAAAACCCTGGCATGTTGGCATTAAATCAAGGCTTTTATAACTTGATATCCAGCATATCTCACCTCAACGTATGGCTCTGCGCAGTCACTGGCAAAATAAAGCACTCGGATATTTTCCTGTGTTCTCTTCATTGCTCTTGATTTGTCTGTCACCTTCTGCACTCTGTGCTTCCACATGTTTGCTTTGCTCTCTGAAGGTAACTTTCTCTGCTTATATAGTTGTGTGACGCTTTCACTTTCTATCGCCGGAAACTCAACCACATGGCTGCTGGCTGGTTAACCGTTACAGCAAGAGTTTCTTTTCCTTCGTAAATGGAAACTGAAGCCCTACTCTGAGATGGGAGAAGAAAGGATGCCCATATAAGGAAGGTGGGTTTTCCCATCATTTCACAGCTCACTTTCTTTTTTTTTTTTTTTTTACTACCATGCTCTGAGATTAATTCACAGTAGCAGAGGAGGGGCTTAACTGTCCCTAGGAATGTTTCAACAGTTTGAAGCTTACGTGCAGAACCCAGCAAACTATGACTTGTTTGTTCATTGTCTAATTAGAAGTGTGCTCGAGCCAAACTTACCTCCCACTTCTTTCCAGCCTTGGGTTTGCTGGCTGATTTTCTAAAAGTCTTGCTGATTCCAGAAATGTCCTTATCCACAGTACGATAAGCATTGTGGCGTTTCTTTCTGACGTTGTTGCAAGATTTGCAGCGTTTCTTCTTGCTTTTGTTGTAGATGTCTGGAGACCATTGCACAAAGAAGGTGTAGAGGTGGTCAACCCTGCAGGGAAAGGGAGCAAAGAACATGCTTTTTAAAACAAAAACTGCACATTGCATATCTGGGGAAATATGTAATTAAATAATTCCTGTTGCTGTCCACACTATGGCTCCTGATTAGCTGTGTATCTGTGTATTTTTATTACCTGCTGTATGTATGCAGCTATGGTAAGATGAAAATATACATTATTTTTCTTTAAGATGAAACTAATATACCTTCTTAGAAAGTCTGATATGCATAAAAAGCTGGAAACCAGGAGAATTTTTCAATTTAGTTTTGCAAGCTTAAACCATGTCTTTTACTGAAGACTAAACTGTATTTCTTAGTTAATTGTTCTAAAACAAATGGCTATTAATCAAACCTAATTTTATTTTAATAATTCTTATTTTTTTCCCCAATCTTACTTATTTTGCATTTCAAAACTCTAAAATACATCAGGAGGAGTTCACTTCATAATCAGCTTCTCCCTGCGTTTGTAAAAATTAACTACATTTCCACATATAACATAGAAAGTCACCAAAAACTGAAAACTGAAGAGTTTCATCTACTGAACAATGTAATTTTACATTTTAAAAATCTAGGTTTTACTGCATTTAAAAAGCATCAAGAAATACTTACTCTCCAACGCTGTAGGCAACCCCCATGACTGTAGATGAAGCTGTAGATTCTAAAGAGCTGAAGTTGATAGCATCAAGGCTCAGTGCTAAAGGAACGTTTCCACCGTGGCCCAGCCATCCCCACCATTTATAGCTGCGGATCAATGGCTGAGATTAGCCCCTCTGACCATAAACCCTCCCCTCTCGTTCAGTTGAAGGCTCCACACAGCCTGCACGTCCTCTGTGGGCCGTACGAAGCTGTGCTTGAAAGCCAAATCTAGGAAAACATTAACATGACCTGCTTAAGGTCTCTGTCCTTACATTTGGTGGCAGTTCATGCATTTTACTTTGTAAGGCTTAGTTACAAAAAGTGGTGAGTTGACAGACAGATAAAAGCCCTAAAAGTATGTCAGTCAGCTTGATTGTCCTTTTTTATTGTCTGTCTCACTGGCTGACCTAGGTGGTGAACCTTTAGATCACATCAGTACTGCAGAGTATGGAAGATTTCTTTGCATTGAGTTGGTATTTTACTGGAGTATTGCAACATTAACCCAAAAACCGTGTGTTCAATAAATAAAGCCTGAATTGAACTTAACATGTTTCCTTAGAGATTAAGAAACCCAAGTTTTGATGAAAGGATAAACAATGGTTTAAAAATAGTTCATTCATTTAATAAACTTTGAAAGCGTGGTATAAAAAAATGATTTCTATTTCAAAAATCAATTATTGCTTTTTTTTTTTTCAAAAGTGTTTCTGCTTCACTAAATTATCATTTTTGTGTGTGGAGCGGGTGGATGGTGGCCACAGCTTAATCTTTCAATAATTTATATGTATGTAAAAGTAATGTAAATGTAAATGTATGTAAATGTAATCGGGACGACAGTGGCGTTGGATGTAGGAGTTTGCCCTGAAATCGAAGGGTTGACGATTCAAGCCCCGACTCCGACTTTCAGTGTCATTGTGTCCTTGGGCAAGACACTTCACCTGCATTGTCTACTGATGGTGGTCAGAGGGCCCGGTGGCGCCAGTGTACGGCAGCCCTGCTTCTGTCAGTGAGCCCCATGGCAGCTGTGGGTACAATGTAGCTTGCCACCATCAGTGTGTGAGTGAATGGGTGAATGAATGTAGTGTAAAGCGCTTTGGTCAAGTCTCCTAACTTGAATAAAGGTGCTATATAAGTACATGCCATTTACCTTGTAAAAGAGTTAATGTCCATTACTGGGCCATGTCTCACTCACATTTTAATTATCATGAGTTTTATTTTCCTGCTTGGCTCTTTTCTTTCTGATGTGCCTAATACTATGTAAAATAGAAACCTAACTTGAAGCAAGCTGACTAAAGGGAAGATTACTTAATGAAGGCTGGGAGAAGATAGATTTCATTACAGGTTGGAAGTTTTGAGGTCAAAACAAGCTCAGAAGTTTTGTTTTTCCATTCTGTTTCAGGTTATTGATCATTTGTTTTCCAGACTCCCAGTTTGAAAAACACGCTGCATATTCACCGGGCCCTGCTATCCGAACACGCTCCACCCTATCAGGCACTCTTTTGTCTCCCACTCAGGGTTTACCTTTGAGATTTAATCAGGGCACTTAAGGCTGAGTATAGTGGTGATAACCAGTGGGCAATCAATAATTCAATACTTGCCATTCAGGTGTGATCAGTGTGCACTAATGATTAATGTTTCCAAATCAGTGCTTCAAAAGATGAGATTAAGTATAATAAAGCAAACTTCATCCACATCTTTAGATAAATATGAGATCTTCATCAATAATCCTGCAGGAGCAACTAAGAAAGTATTCCCCCCCAAACTTAACTCTGGGTATTTCCAGAGACTTCTGTTTGATTGGATAAGGATCTGGAGCCCTTTTAAATCGATCAATCAATACAACAGTGCAGAGTATAGATAAGTTCTGGTTTTGTTCACAGTGGCAGCACTGTATTAGGATTTAGGGTAACGGTGACAGCGCTTAAGCACACGGTTTAGTTTGTTATGTGATATCAGACCTTAGAGACTACAAGCAGGACAGTCTGGGGTCAACAGTCAGCCATGATATTCTTTCACAAGAGACATGGTGAGAAAATCAATTTAAGATAGACTATGTTCCGTCACACAAAAAAGGATCAATAACACACATACACATATGCACATTTGAAAGATCTCTACAGCATTATAGTAGCTTAATTATTTAAATGTGTCTTAAAAATGTATTAAAAAGAGAACAACACCCTTTGCAAACTCTTCACATCATGCAAGAGAAGTTGTATTGAAAAAGCATTGATGGCCCTTTAACTTTGTTATATATTTTCCTTCCTTTTTTTCATTAAATTGTACAATAGGACAAATTATTCTGGGAGGAAGAAGTATGAAACCATACTATAATGAAAGCAAGCTACAAAAACTGCATGCCTCCCTTAGTGTTCCACAGGTTTTAAATGTTTTAGATGTGTCTTTATTGCAGCTGCAGCATATCTGAATCCAATAGCTGCTTTACCATCTGATGAGCCATCATGGGCTGCAGAGACCTGTGAATTAATTACCCATTTACTTAAGTCAGGTGTGGGAAAACACAGTCTGTTGTAAGGAAAAAGATGCATAATGCTATGCTATTGCTGTTCTTCAGCAGGGAAATGGAAGCTGGTCAGAGTTGATGAAAAGATGAATGAACTAAAATAAAGGGCGATCTTAGAAGCAAACCTGTCAGAGGCTTCAGACTGGGTCTAATTTTCCCTTTTCTTCTAAAAAATATAAAAAAAAAACACCCAGAGACACAAATGAGCTGGTCTAATTAAAGCATGTCTATGTGTTGGTGTAGTTCACTTAAAGTCCAGATTGAAATTTGACAAAGTTTGAATCATGTTGCAAACAAAATGGGGCAAACGTTTAAATAATGAGATGCGAAAAACTGATCGAGACACACTTCAATTCAATTCAAAAATACTTCACTAATCCCAAAGAGAAATGAAATAACACTACAAAGAAAAAAATAATTTGAAAAAAGCTCAGGTTGTGGCTTTTAAATACGCAATATCAATGGTTCAACTCTGTTTTAGCTATAAAATTGTTTATATAAAGTTGCAGGACACAAAATTATATAAATAACATGCTCTTTTAAAGTTTTTAGTAATCAGTGAATCTCAGGGAATATTTTGTATATTAAGAAGCCATTTAAGAAAAGCACTTATATCTTTTATTCATTATGAGAAATGTATCAAAAGTCTCTTTGCTTTTTCTGAAAAAGTTAGAAAAAATATTTTTAAAACTAAATACCCATTAGGAGCTCTACAATGTTACAAATTGATGCCTTCATGTGTTTGAAACTTATATTGAGATGACTTTTCCACCTGGAACAAGGAAAATATAGAATAACATAAATCATAGTGGAACTGAAAACTTAAAAGGAAACTCAAACAGAAGTCCACAAAATGCACCTTAATGAAACTGTTCTGCCACACTTTGCTTTTTGCACTTAGACAAGTTAATACAATCTTGGTCTCATCTAACCAGAGGAGGTTCTTCTAATAACTCTCAGTGTCTCTTGCAGAAGTGGGAATATGACTTTCTTTCAAACATTGTTTTATCTTGATCATTTCTTCTTATCAATCCGATTTTTGAATAATCAAATATTAGATCCTTTGTTTAAAGATTATTCCACCTGATCTGAGCATCTCCTCAGTTTGAACCTCTTATCTGCCTCTATGATTAATGCTCTCCTTCCCTGACCTCCCAGGTTTGACATCTGCATTGACCTGATGGACTGGAATAGCTCTGTGAGAACCTTTTTATTTTTTATTTATAACCTAACTCTGATCTGCCTGCTGTGCTTTTTGGTCTTAATCAAGCTGTTTGTTCGGTAATCCTGTCTGACAAACAAGAAACCTTCATAAAAAAAACTGCATATATGCTGAAATCTCATCTTTGTTTTATATTTAGGAGCCTACAGTAGGTAATTGGCATCACTTTTATTTCAGGGACTCTGAGTAAAGCCCCCCCAAACACCAGACATCATTTAGACATTGGTTTTTATGCTGAATCTGGTAAGTCCTTCATAATCTTAATTTAGTCCAGATAAATGTGTGTTTGGTTGGTCGGATTTTGAGCCAATTTAGTCCAAATATAGACGTTGAAAACTGGACTTTCAAGCTTAACTGGATTCAACGATAGCCAAATGTAGACGTAAATCATGTTGTCTTTTCGGTGGGAGATGGATAAATACAACACGGATAATCCACCTTATTTATAATGAATATAAGAAGGATTTTCAAAAATTAGAAGCTGGTAATAAAAAAAAAAGAATATTCTACATAAGTGTGGCTATTGCACAGCTATACGAATACTTATTTTGTTTAAGGATTCGTATAGCTTCTAATATATGAGGCTGCGGTTAAAAGGAAGGGAATACATCAAATATTTTCAAACTCCTTACACGTAACTACAGATAAACAATTTTTTCAGCTTGTGGTTTTAATTTGTGACTAAAACCAGAATCTAATCTAGTAACTTTAATTGGTGAATTTCAACAGTAGTAATTACCAAAGATGTGTTTTATTTTGTTGAGCTAGAAAGAGTACGGTAGTAGTTGTTTTTAAACAGTATGAATTTTTCGGACGTCCCTGTTAGTTTTTCCAATTTATAGGAAAAAGATACTAAATTCAGTATCTCACACTGACCAGAAGATGAACTGTTCTGTGGCATTGATTTTTAGCTGTCCAAAAGTCCACGAGGGCTGGTTGCCAAAACTCACAAGGCTTCTGCATGTGCACACAATGTGTCAATTTCTCAAACTTACTGGAAGGTCCAAGGCCTTTTTGACATCTGTCTTTATGAGTTTAATTAATCTAAGATGGGAATATTTCCAAATTGAATAAAGAGATTATTGTGTGTTGATTCAAACTCTTCCCCCTTTGCTCATAAACAGAGAGCAGTTTTCTTGCGGCCTGCTGGAAAAATCTGTGCAGATCAGTGAAAATGCTGGATTAATTCTTATGGCTCAGAAACTGGTTTGTACTGGATCATGAACTGCTGCTCTAAACCTTTCTTGCATAAGTTGCATTTAGAGGATGGATTATTTTTAACACAACAAAGGTTTTAGCATCTAGTACATTCTGGATTTTGGCATTGTAAAG